TAGAGTTGATATGTGGAAGAGGCAGAAAACAGAGAAAGACTCCAACGGTGCAGTATGTCATAAAAAAGGCATATTTTGTGTATAGTAATAGAACTACTCACAATATCCAGAGCTTAAATCCAGCTCTGGTTTGAATGACATGAAGTGGAACAATCCCCACTTAAGGATATTTGCTCTTCTAGGATTCCTTAATTAGTGTCAGGGTCTTACCTGGGTTGGGAGTCTGTAGCGCAGATATGTTGCTCACCCTTGCAGATAGCCACAGGCCAAGGTGGTCAGGTAAGAATTCACCCGGCCTGTGGGTCTGTGCACGGGGGCTGTGCAGGATGAAGTACCAAGTCACAGGACAGGCAAGGACTCAAACAGCAGGATCGTCAAAGGATGCCAGAAGACAGGAACAACGAGGAGTAGCCGAAGTCAAGGGATGCCAGAGGTCAGAGTAAACGTAGTCAGAAGCCGGGGTCAATAACAAGTAGCAGCTCAAACAACAGGAACACTTGTACAAAGCACACAACAGGATCAAAGACTTGATGCTGATCACAGGGCGAGGCTGAGTTTAAATACCCTGCTAATGTCTGATCAGGGTCAGGTGAAGCACAGCCAAAGTCAAGGTACAGCCCCCAGAGAAATAGACATGCTAGGATGAACAGGACCAGAATGACATAGAAATACAAAAGCTGCTGTGGCTCAGAGGAAGGAAGCAGGACCAGGACTGCGAAGTTCCCCGGTTCAAGTCCTTTGTTGGGATCTCCACGGGTGACCACGTCTGGCTGTCTGTTTGCTGTGGCGAGAATCGTTCAATAGGGTGGATAAAATAAAATATATATAGTGTTCCCTGTATAATTTAGGATGATAAAAAAATAGATAAAATATACTCACAGTATAATGAGCAGACACACTGCTCGATGAGTAACGTGTGGGTGGTACAATCCCCACCTAGAGATTCTTTGATACTTCCTTTTGGCAGAAGAACGATAATGTCAGGTCAGGAACATAAAGAATACCAAAATTAAGGTAATATAATACTATAGTGAAAAAAGGAAAGTGGCAACAGTTTAGAAAACAGCCAAAATTCCTTTATTAACACTTAAAAAATAGATATAAGTATAAAAAGTTTCCATTGGTGTGCTGCCTTGCTGTTATACTAATTGCTTTCTCTGGTGGCTTATCAGCGCTGATCCTTTCTATTTCTTTTATATTTTAAATTTAAACCTAATATTAAACTTCATAATTATTCTATACCTAATCTTTTATTTAATCCTGATCCCAAAGGTTTTCATTTGTTACTATCAGTAGAGATATTCGCAAAGGGAATTCAAAACTAAAACAGAATGATGCTGCTACCTACTGGCTATTTTCATATATCTTACATTGGAAATATTATGCCTAATGCATTGCGATTGGTGCCATTGGGGCATAGAGGGAGACCAACCGGGGTCTATTCAGACCATCACCAGAACCAGAGAGAGAATCATTGTGGCTAAGCTTGTTCGCTCAGCTTCAGTGTTCTCAATGGAGTTAAAGAACTACATGCGGTTCTGACTTTTAGTGCTGCATGCAGCTTCTCAAAATGTCTGGGGCCACCAAAAATGGCTCCAGCTAATAGAGAGGAGCCCCAGGTATCTATTGATACTGGTGCAAGCAGTGATTTAGACCGCTCATACTACATTACTCTGTATGGAAATTTACATCTCCATTGAGAGTTCTGCATACCAATCTCGCCTTGAGCTCTGCATGTAGCTCACCTGTCAGTCTGGAGCCACTACAAATTACACCAGCTGGCAGAGGAAGAGCCCAATGTATCTATTGACACCTTTTTTTTTTGGCTTGAGCAGGGATTTACAATCCATGGCCATTAAAGCCCTGCACTGCATGACGGTATAGACCATTATGTAGCCCTTAAGTGGTTACAGAGTTACATAGCTGAAAAGAGACTTGCGTCCATCAAGTTCAGCCTTCCTCATATTTGTTTTTTGCTCTTGGTCCAAAAGAAGACAAAAAACCCAGTTTTAAGCACTTCCAGTTTTGCAACAAACTAGGAAAAAAATTCCTTCTTGACCCCAGAATGGCAGTCAGATTTATCCTTGGATCAAGCAGTTATTACCCTACATTGAAAGATTATATCCTTGAATATTCTGTTCTTGCAAGTATGCATCTAGTAGCCGTTTGAACATCTGTATGGACTCTGATAAAACCACTTCTTCAGGCAGATAATTCCACATCCTTATTGTTCTTACAGTAAAAAAACCTTTCCTTTGCCTTAGACGAAATCTTCTTTCTTCCAGTCTAAACGCATGGCCTCGTGTCCTATGTAAAGTCCGGTTTGTGAATAGATTTCCACACAATGGTTTGTATTGGCCCTGAATGTATTTGTATAATGTTATCATATCCCCTCTCAGGCGACGTTTTTCTAAACTAAATAGGTTTAAATTTGTTAACCCTTCTTTATAGCTGATATGTTCCATTCCTTTTATCAATTTTTCTAGTGCCATAATATCCTTCTTTAGAACAGGTGTGTAGCGGATTGCTTTAAGACTGTCCTCAAGAATTCGTATTAAAAATGTATTTGTGTAATTGTTTCCCTGTATAGCTGTAAGTGTATGTAGCTTTCGTATGATTGTTCGGTAGTTTTCATACAAATTACCGAACCATCAGACCACCCCAGTAAGAAGTGTGCACCTCGTTAAGCGTTCACACTCTGTAAACCGCAGCTTAATTGATATATTGTATGTGCCTGTGTGGTCGCTGTACGAACCATGTGCGGCAGCAATCTTACGCAAAAAAATCTCAGCGGTGTTTGGTTGTTGAGTGTTTGGAACTCAAATCGGACACTCAAACAACCGAACACTGCTGAGACCTCCAGAGCTCCATAGCTCCCGAATGGAGGGGCCAGTCAGACCCTCGTTCGGTAAAATAAATGTACCGAACAAGGGAATACTTGCGTATATAAGATTAGCTGTGGATGGCAAGGATTACTGTATGTTTTAACTACCGAACGGAGACCGACCGCAAGGCCAAAACACATGGAGCCTTTTTTGGATACCACCTCGTGTGTGGTCGGTCAAATTGCACCTTCCGCCTAACTCCCGAACCCCTGGTCTGATCTGGGTGTATTTTGAATATGTTAGTCACCCAGATCAGGGCTACCAGGGGGTACCCAAAGTATTATTCTAACTGCTTGTTTTGGGGTACATCCAGAATTCGGGGAAAACTACAGTATGTTTAATGGGATTATGTGTCACACTAAGGGGAGGAGATGTGTGGGAGGTAACAGTTACACTATTGGCTACTGTACTAATGATTGTGAATCCCTCCCTTGCATGGGAGAATGCTTTAAAAGAAGGTTGAGTGATTAAAAGTTTAGTTCTGCTCCAGTCATTGGGATCTGTATGGGGATATTCGTGTATTACCTTATTTGCTGTGATTTATTATTCTATGGTATTTTTTTTACTTGTTCCTGAGCCTCACTGGGATCTTTAGTGGAGTTAACCTGTGAAAGACCAGCTCTCCGCTACAAGGTGCCCAAAATTGCACAGCATATTCAATATGTGGTCTTACCAGTGATTTATAAAGAGGCAAAATGATATTCTCGTCCCGAGAATGAATGCCCTTTTTCATGGATGACAATACCTTACTGGCCTTGACCACTGCTGATTGACATTGCACATTGTTGCATAGTTTGTTGTCTGTAACAATTCCCAAATCCTTTTCGTGTGTTGTTATCCCTAATTCGTTAAATATACTTTGCCCAATTTTTTACGATGTTGATACTTAGAAACAGTGCTCAATTTGAGACGATAATTCTACTTAGAGACAGTGCCCAATTTAAGAATGGTAGTGGTTATGGTTCTATGGTTGCTTTCAGTTTCCACTTGTAAGTAATCAAATCGTTTGCTAATGGTTTGACTTCTTACCTGAGATCTGCCAGGAGCCAGTCACTTCCTGTATGAAGAGGCAGAAGCTTTTGCTCGTTCTCCTGAGTGAAGCTGTGCTGTGCCAGCTCATTGACGGAGCCGTCAGCTAATTACTCTTAGTCAATCAGCTAAACTATACAGCACCAGGCGTAGCTCAATGAACACCGTCTCTGGGGAATTACTTTTTTTAGCTACCTTCAGTCTTTAGGTCACCTCCACATATTTTTATTCTCTGTTATATCCTGCCTCACAGAGAGCACAAGGCAGTGACATCATCACTCTGGGCTTTGTTCTGCCTTGTGGAGTGCACGTGGTGCTTAGTGATGTCGTCATTGTCCTGTGCACTCTGTCAGGAACGACATACCATAGAGAAAACGTGTTCAGTATACTGGACCATCCCACCCAAGGTGACCAACAGTGACGACGAAACGATAGGAGGAATTCTACATGCAGGGAGGCATTCTGCACAAAAATTCACATTGATGGCGTTTTATAAAAATAAAGGTTGCTTCCATAACACATTGAAAGCATTTTTTTGGAGGCAAAAATTATTTTTAGGTGTCGGTTGCCTTCCAACAACAGGTTTCATTCGTACAATCAGATTACGAATAAATACAATGTCCCAAGTAGTTGCTAGGTTATCAGCAACTTGCACGTTTCCCTGCTCTTGTATACCATTCCTGGTAATATATTTTAACATTTTCTGTCTCGTTTACAATGTTAATTCTTCAAAATGATGGCAGACATTGCTCTATCCAGTCTCTAGTAATAGATTTATTTAATTTAAATCCTGCTTTATGTTTTACGAAGTGCATAATATACCAGATATGGCTCTTTTTAACATAAAGTAGATACGTGGCCATATATAATCTTTATTTTATCTATGGCGAGTGAGCTGATGTGTACATTGGGAATAAACTATTTGATGTCACTTTGCTTCTATCAAATGAAATATACTCTGTAATGAATTAGCTCTAAAAACTAAACTGTGTAAACATTTTATAAATGTTGTTTAAAGGTGGAAATGCAATGAACTGTATGTTACTAAAATAAAGTTAAAACTGTATTTCTCCATTCTTAGGTATCAACTGTTTGTGGAAGCTTTTCCCCCAACTCCTACCTTTTAGCAGCAGAGCGATGGCTGACTGAAATTTTACTTCACTAATCCACCTTTTTGTCATCCACGATATCAAATACCAGTATTATCACACACTAGTAGACAGTCTATTCAAGCAACAAGTGTCAGAAGAGGTCTTTGTGAATAATGGATGAGGACTCGATAGTGGCAAATGAAGAAAATCTCACACAAACTCACAAGTCAACAAAGCAAGAAGAGATGGTGACTGAATGTGTGACTCAGGACGGCAAAGCGAACCTAAAAACCATAAAAACAGAAATGCCATGTGAAAGCGATCATAAAACTGATGAAAACAAAGTTGATATCAATCATACAGCACAACCCCTTATAAGCTTATACACTGATTTTGATCATTCCAGATGTGTACTTGATGTTAAGTGTGAAACTGCTGACACAGATAACCACAGCTTGGCTGCTGAGAAATGTGTCAATCTTGGATCCCACCTTCTAAAGCCCCGGAAAGTTTACATAAGAGAGAAGATGTTATCGTGTTTTGAATGTGGAAAATGGTATGCCTCAAAATCGGAGCTTGCTAGGCATCAAATAACTCACACAGGTGAAAGGGCATTTGCCTGTTCTGAATGTGGGAAATGTTTTACCAGAAAGTCATCTCTTGTTGCTCATGTGAGGATTCACACGGGTCACAAACCATTCACTTGTTCAACATGTGGCAGATCTTTCCCCCAAAGCTCCAATCTTGTTGTACATGAGAGAATTCACAGAGGAGAAAAACCTTTTTCATGTTCGGAATGTGGTAAATGCTATTCCACAAAGTCATATCTTCTTACACATCAGAAAATTCACACTGGTAATAAGCCTTTTGCATGTTCTGAATGTGAAAAATGTTTCCCCACAAGATCTGACCTTAGACGGCATGAGAGAACACACACAGGAGAAAAACCGTATAGTTGTTCTGAATGCGGAAAGTGTTTCACCACTAGCTCTTACCTTGTAACACACGAGAGAATTCATACAGGAGAAAAACCCTTCTCATGTTCTGAATGTGAAAAAACTTTTGCTCAGCCTTCAAGTCTCTTTTTACACGAGCGAATTCACATAGGTGAAAAGCCATTTTCATGTTCAGAATGTGGAAAATGTTTTTCCCAAAGTGGAAGTCTTCTTATACACGAGAGAATTCACACAGGAGAGAAACCATTTACATGTTCTGAATGTGGGAAAAGTTTTAGTACAAAGTCATATCTTGTTACCCATGAGCGCATTCACACAGGAGAAAAGCCATTCTCATGTTCTGAATGCCGAAGATCTTTTACCTCAAAGTCAGAGCTTACTATACACAAGAGAATTCACACGGGAGAAAAGCCTTTTGTGTGTACCGAATGTGGAAAATGTTTTTCAAGAAAATCGGGGCTTAACCGACATGAGAGATGTCACACAGGAGAAAAACCTTTTTCATGTTCAGAATGTGGGAAATGCTTTTCCCACAGAACTAATCTTTATGTACACAAGAAAATACACTCAAGGTCAGATCTGTATGAATGTAATGAATAATAAAAATGCCAACATCACTTTCTGTATAGCAAATACTTGTTTTTCCAAAATATATATTTTACACGTTTGTATGTAAGAAAAACATTAACGCTATAGTACATTAGACAAAGTTCCCATATGGTTGACTGTTGGGTGTTATTTTTGTCTTTTTAATGGCTATGGAAGTTCCACTTCAAATGGAGGTACACTAAGTAAATGGCTGTTTCCTTGGATGTTTGACCATTTTTTTCTTTGGTTCTCAAATTCTGCTCACAGGATTGACTTACAATTTGGATATGTGTAGTGTGAGTACACTTATGACAAGCGTATGGTTTTCCAATGTACTACAGATATGTTATATGGTGACATTCTGACTTTTCTGCATAATCGAGGGACCACATGGTAATGCTGAAAAGTGAAGCAGAAGTGTTGTGTGCAAAATGGAACCTCGATTTTTTTTTATTCACGATGGACGTTTCATTAAAAGCATGACAACTCATGGAGGAACTCATGTTACCTAGAGCTTTGTATCATGAAATTGTTATTTCTATATTTAGATGTATCTGAACATTATATGCATTCTTAAATGTTGACATTAAGTAAAACTTTTTGGTGGGGGTTACCATGGTCCTTGTGAATCACTTAACCCATAAGAACCATCCAAATTGTATGTAGCAGTACTTTCATTGGTAAAGATATAAAAAATTGTGTCCCAGGCAATGATCGTGACTATTCAGGTTCCGCTTTGTTTTTTCATTTGGATGAGTACTGTGATTACATTTATGACTATTTGTTTTCACTTGAATATATTTGTAAGTATTTTTTAATTGCATATTATACACATATATATATAATTACACTAACAGTCTTAAGAAAGTAATATCAATCATATATAATAAAACATTACGTTATTCATTACATTGTTGTAAAAAATCACACTCAATCTCATTCATAAGTACGCAAGAGTCACAAGAATATGACAACAAACTAACTTGCATTTTGGGGTGGGAGAGCAGCATAGATGGAACCAATCAATACATTTTTGGCACTATCCCATCGGGGGTCATTCTTTAGAAATAGAATTAATCCAGGGGGTCCATATCTTAAGATACGGTGAAATGTGTTCATTAAAGGACCACTATAGTGCCAGGAAAACATACTCGTTTTCCTGGCACTATAGTGCCCTGAGGGTGCCCCCACCCTCAGGGGCCCCTCCCGCCCAGCTCTGGAAAGGGGAAAAGGGGTAAAACTTACCTTTTCCAGCGCTGGGCGGAGAGCTCTCCTCCTCCGAGTCGGCTGTATGCGCATGCGCGGCAAGAGCTGTGCGCGCATTCAGCCGGTCACATAGGAAAGCATTCATAATGCTTTCCTATGGACGCTGGCGTGCTCTCACTGTGAAAATCACAGTGAGAAGCACGCAAGCGCCTCTAGCGGCTGTCAATGAGACAGCCACTAGAGGAAATAGGGGGAAGGCTTAACCCATTCATAAACATAGCCGTTTCTTTGAAACGGCTATGTTTATAAAAAAAATGGGTTAACCCTAGAAGGACCTGGCACCCAGACCACTTCATTAAGCTGAAGTGGTCTGGGTGCCTAGAGTGGTCCTTTAAGCATATACAAATATCTTTCCATTTTCCCTTGATAGATTTGACCAATGAGCACTGCCCAAGATGGAAAATTAGGCTTTCGCCATTCTCTTGCGATATTTAATAGTAAGCAGTATATTGATTGCTAGAATAAGGGTACTTTTATTTTTTTGAAAGTCCCAAATGAAAGAGCCAAATACTTGGGTTTAATGAATTATCTGTTAGTTTTTTAGGGTGACTCAGAGGGGGGTGGGGGGGGGGTTCTATCTTTCCTATCTTTGTGGGGGATTAGCTCCTTTTCTCTTTAGTATAAGCTACTCGATATTAGTTTGGGCGCGCCCCATTAGTTGCTATTAATCCTGCCCTTTCCAGATTCTCTCAGACACTGCTCTAAGACTATCCTTTTTCTATCCAATTACCCAGCTGGGTCCTTTCCTAGAATGGATTTAGACTAACCTGCTTTGTTACCTATTTACTATTTTAGGTGTATTTTTACACCTCTATTAAGTCAAACATACCTTGCAGGATTAGCCTCTCCCAGGCTTTTATAAGTTTGGTGGTTAACTTAGCCGATGCTATTATACTCAATTGATTCTCTTTACTCTCATCTTTCATTTACCTGGGTTTCCACAGCGCATGAGTTTGCGCCTATATTTTCTCCTGATACAGACTTAGGGATTTGGATAGGCTGCCACGAAGCAGCAGTTAGTTTTGCTGTTTCTCTTAGGATAGTTAGTTTTTTTAGGGTGACTCAAGGGGGGGTGGGGGGGGTTCTATCTTTCCTCTCTTTGTGGGGTATTAGCTCCTTTTCTCTTTAGTATAAGCTACTCGATATTAGTTTGGGCGCGCCCCATTAGTTGCTATTAACCCTGCCCTTTCCAGATTCTCTCAGACACTTCTCTAAGACTATCCTTTTTCTATCCATTTACCCAGTTGGGTCCTTTCCTAGAATGGATTTAGACTAACCTACTTTGTTACCCATTTATTATTTTAGGTGTATTTTTACACCTCTATTAAGTCAAACATACCTTGCAGGATTAGCCTCTCCCAGGCTTTTACAAATTTGGTGGTTAACTTATAATCAATACACTATTTTAGTGTATGGTAATAGTATTTGGACTATATACCATTTTAGCATTTTTTTCTAATAAAGGTTGTTTATCCTCTTCTATGTGACTATTTACATTATGAGGTACTTTGAATGAGGCTAGGCATTCCACCCACTTTTTTGTGAGTGGACTGTCTGCCCCATTTTTCGTCTCTCTTTTTCTATATATATTGTGGGGTTACGCCCCTTGTACCTCTGTAACCTTTTTGTGGGGTAGTGGTGGTGGTTTCCCCACCCCGTAGCCCCTCTCTCTTTCTTCCATATCTGTTATAAAAATAAATGTAAAACATATATCTATTGCATGTTTAATTTTCCTGCAGTTTTTACACTCCCACCAGATATGAAGAAAGGTACCTCTCTCTAAGTTACATCTCCAGCATTGGTCTAATGCATTTCTATCGAACTTGGCGATACGAGGAGGGGCCTAAAAACCGTGACAGGGGTGACGCATGAAAAATAATTATGAATTCCTATTCTTGATCTGATAATTGCACCCTTGAATACTGGATTATTACTCATACAAGGGTTAACTAAAGAAGATTTAACCCAAAATAAATGGAACGGATGTATGTCTTTAATCGGTAAGGATTCCCATTTAAGCCAAACTATATTTTTATCTTGTTTAACGTTCCATGCAAGGATATGTGTGATCATGGAGATGCAATGTAATAAACTTAAATCTGTGAAACCGAGTCCAACGTGGGAGCAATCTCTTTAATTATATTTTGATTTATTCTAGGTTTTTTCCCACCCCAAGCCAATTTAACTATAATATGACTATTAATGCCTTTAATACCCATCTTGAATATCATTTTTTTTATTTTCATGCAATTTGTACAATTAAATTTAGTTCACAAAGCCTCATTCATCCTCATTTACACTCTATTTATGATTACCAGCCTTATCTGCCAGAAGCAACAAGTTACTGACATTATGAATGTAAAGTTGCTGAAAATTTCATCCCACAACCTGCTTTCAAATAGTACAGGAAGTTTCAATAGGTGATATCATCCCTACAGTTAGGGGGGAGGAGTGAATTGATTCTACCATTACACTACATTAGCTGTACAGATATAAAAAATAACATGGCAGTTTTAAATACATCCCCCCCTCCCCCCCCCCACAAAATGCATTATTTCACTGTATGTAAGTATTGTGTATAAATGTGTGTATATGTATATATATATATATATGTAATAAAAACAAAACAGAGAGTAAGCGCTAGCTAATATGAGGGCAGCAACCCTATAAGGGAATCCCTCAGGAACCCTTAAAAATAACGCAGAGAGAGAAAGAATAAAAGATAAGGGCTGCGCCAATGCAAAATAAAATAGCAAATAGTCCAAATAAATGAATGTAGTAAAACAAGAAAGTCTTATCTAGAATATGCTCTTTGAGGTCATGGAAGCTATCCGTGCTTGATCCGGAACAATTGTCCTTTATATGTTCATCCGTGAGGGTCCGCTCGTATATATAGAAGATAAAAGAGTTGAGAGCCAATAGTATAAAATGCTTAATATATATATAATACACAAGATCCAGCGTACTCACCTATTCACCAAACTTCAACTTCAATGCTGACACATTTTATTCGTTTTTTTTTTTTTTAAAAAACACCTATTCTAGGCAAAAATAATGGGGGTTTAGTTACATTATATGATCATACATTGCATTAGCCTGCCACAACGTCAATATACCCCATCTTTGGCAGGTCCTACTCTAACAGCCTAATGTCTGCTCTTATGAGATTAACCCACTTACTTGGGGACCCACTTAAATAGGGCCCTGGGATGAGGCACCTGTGACAGGGAGGGGTGCAAAACCAAGGAGCTGGCTAGACTCCTAAATATATATTTATATGAATAAGGATAAATAAACTGTTCTGGTGTACTTAGTGTACTACACAGAGTAGAGGGAGACAGACTCGCACTAAGCTGCTCAAACTGGAAACAATAGGGATTCACTAAAAAAACTATATAGATGACAGATAAAAATCACCTTAAAAATAAAGTGTATAACTCCAGGAGCTAGTTAGTGACTGATGGCTAAAAATGTGGTAAAAAAAATAATAATAGGTATATAGTGAAAATACAATACAATATGTGGGTAATGTGCCTAAGGTGTTGAGAATAGAAATAGAGATAAAATAAAAATAAATATAAAAGTTAAATAAAAAAATATAAATTGAAGATAAAAATAAATAAAAACAAAAATGAAAATAAAGTGCTGTACCTTCAAATGCTAAAAACGATATGGTAGCAGCAATAGAGATAGATAAAAAGTGTAGTGGGTGATAAAAAGGAAAAGGGGTGAGTGAGAATACAAATGTGGAATATAAAATAGAAATATGTAAATAAAATGATAGAAACAGATGTGAATAAAAGTGAAACACAGGCTGATGAAAAAAACTCCTTGGACCAAAATGTGCAAAATGGGTATCTTGATCCCCAGTGAAATGGGGGGGGGGAGGGGTAAATGATATCTATTTCAAAATAATATACTTAATCAGATAAAAGATAACAATATCGAGCTACTAAACGATACAGTATAAGGAACTGCAGGCTCAGATACTTTGTATAATAGATTGTGGTGAACTGAAGCAACGTAGACTGGATATGTAATCAAAAAGGGTCCAGTTTATTAAACATTAAAAAATATGAAAATAGTTAAAATATAGATCAAAGACAGTTCATAATGGCATTACCAGACTCTAGTAAATCAAAATGCCAGAAAGGACCTTCAAATTAAAGGAGGATGGATCTGGATACTGTCGGTGAGTGGTTGGTATTCCGGCTGCCGGTGAGGACGGCGTGATTCTGAGTGCACGTACCGAACAGGAGCCTCACTTTCGGGGACATGCAAAACAGGCGACGCCAGTTACTGCTGTTACCAAAGGTCCTGCTTGGAAGGTTGAACTATTGCTGGTGGATGCGATCTGTGTCTTGTCTTCGCTATCTGCCTAACACGTTTCGTAGGAGGTGCACCCTACTTCATCAGAGACATGCTATCGTACATTGCTTCAGACATACATTAAATACCCTTAGGGTTAATTGACAATAAAACACTCGTTCATGTGTAAGATTATATACATATCAAATATTACAAATAAAAAGTATATACAGATACAATTGGATCAAAAATGAACATTTTGTACAATTATTTGTCACTTTAAACCATTGTATGAGATAGTAAACTGATGGTTTGAAGATAATAATGTAAATTAACCATGTATATACCAACAAAGATGTTGGATGACAAAAAATATTGGAGTATTAAAATACAACTGTACCACAGGTATATGCATTCAAGGTAAATGGCCGACATTAATCAATTTTAGATTTTCTAATAAACGTTTATTACAAAGCTATACATAGTGATCACATATAGTATTTCGTAATTGGTACAACATGAAATTTCGGTAATCCGTTCGGTTCCAATGCTGTTTTTCACCTCCACAGAGGATCACTCTCATCTACGGGGAGCTTCTTTCTCTACTGCAGAAAGGTGCCATAGAACCAGCCCATGCTCCTGGCTTAGTGCCGAATATTTTTCTTGTCTGCAAGAAGATGAGGGACTTCTGTCTCATCATCAGCGCAACCTCAATGCTTTCATGACATTGTCATTTCAAGATGGAGGGTATCTCTCAGCAAAGTTCGCTCTCCTCCTGTGCTTAGTTTTGTTTCGTCAGGTGTCGGACATTCACACTTTTGATGCCCACACAGTTACCATCTCCCTGGTGAGAGTCTCCTTTGCAGTCCATCGACGCACCAAATCCTTCTCCACATCGGTTTACAATCCATATTTTCCTAAGCACCCTAGGTGGTGTATGGCCATTGTGTGCATTCGTATCTGTTGGTTACATCTCCCCTCCGAGCTTCTTCAGTGGCAATCTACTTCTTTCTTACGTCCCTCCTCACCATTGGTAGTTCGTTGGATCCAATGGCTCTTAACGTCGGCTTGCATTGATGATTCGTTTGGGGCCTATTTAGTGTGCAGAGCTGCGTCTTCATCCGCTTTCTCCTCTGGTGTCTCCATCTGTCAACTGCGGATTGGTCTCAGGAATAGACGTTCCAGAACTTCTCCTTCCGCCGCTTCCTCATGCGACTCTGACTCTTCTTTCTCAGTATTTAAACAGGTAATATGAAGCCTCCTGTCTTGTATTAAAATTGGGGATTAGCATTGTAACGGCTACCCGGGTAGAGTGAGGGTATCTGCCGTTGGAGACGTCCTTTTTCCCTGTAAGCTGCTGTGGAGAAGTAAGCTGGTATAATCCCATCCACGATATCCAGAGTAAGAGTCAGGTTCAGCTGTAACAGGAGCAGAATAATATTCCCAAATAATCCCCTTTCAAGAAACGAGACAAGGCTACGTTTTGAAGGGTCAAGAAGAACTGAGGACTGGAACACCCAGCCTGCTTTTTATTGGGATCAGGTACACACAGGATACTCCCAGGGGGAGGATAAAAACATCCAATCATATATCTGGTAACACCCCCACGTCTCCTCCCCTCAGATAACATATAACATAATTAAAACGTACAACATTTTACCCCAGTTCTGGATGTTCCCCAAAAACAGGGGGTACAGCTTTAAATCCTGGGTCGCTTGATAGCTCTCATTCAGGGGACCAACATGTCCAAAAATCAGCCCATTCGGATGAATAGTTCGGGAGATACAGAGTTCCAAAGTTTTGACCGACCGCACAGACCAACTAGCCGAAAATAGTTCCATGAGTTTTGGCCTTGCGGTCGGTCTCCGTTCGCCTGGTAAAAAGGTATGAAATTCTTGCCATCCATTCGAATCTCGGGGTTCGCCGCAATCCCCATAGATGCTTGAACATAACTACCGAACGTCCGGTGATTCGGTAGTTTCCGTGCGAACTTCTGGAAGTATGGAGGACTCAGCGGTGTTCGCCTGTTTGCGTATCCGATTTTAGTTCCACGCGTCGACAGGCAAACACCGCTGTTCGCACGTAAGATGGCCGCGGCCACGTGTAAAGTCCCGAAATGGCGGCCACCTATACTTTACACAGGGAATTCATGCGAACCCATTCGAATGGTTGAAATGCACTAAATGTGACGAATTCCTGCTGGTTTTGGTTAGTTCACTGGCCCAGGCATACAGCATAGTTCTGTTACACTGCTCCCCTTTTATGGAACACTCCGGCAGACCCGGATTGACCTTTTTCGGGTCAACTTGGGGCTGTCCGGTCTGCCTCTAAGGTAAAAGTTCTGTTTGCCTGGACAGTCCGTCTGCATTCCCATTGAACCGGCCTGGGCGATACTGGATGGAGAAATTATACGGTTGTAGGGCTAGGCTCCACCTCAGTAGTCGTCCATTGTCCCCAGCCACTCGGTTCAGCCATACTAGAGGGTTATGGTCTGTGATCAGGGTAAATTCCTGACCATAAAGGTAGGGGGTGAGCTTCTTTAGGGCCCAGACCAGGGCTAGACATTCTTTTTCCACTGCCGCATAACTCACTTCCCTGGGCAATAGCTTTCTACTCAGGTATGCGACAGGGTGTTCTCCCCCATCTTCTCCGACCTGGCTTAGCACTGCCCCCAGTCCGTACATGGACGCATCTGTGTGGACGACAAATCTTTTATTAGGGACGGGGGCAGACAAAACAGGTGCGTTGATCAGAGCTTGTTTCAGGGTTTGGAATGCTGCTTCACAGGCGGGAGACCACAGGACTACCCTAGGTAAATTTTTCTTCGTTAAATCGGTCAGAGGTTTGGCGATGGCGCTGTAGTCAGGGACAAATTTTCTGTAGTACCCTGCCGTTCCCAAGAAGGCTAATACCTGGGTCTTAGTGTGGGGGGTGGGCCAATTCGCTACGGCCTCTACCTTGGCGGGTTCTGGTCGTTGTTTCCCACACCCCACTCTGTGTCCCAAGTACTGAACTTCAGCCATACCAAAGTTACATTTCTCTGGTTTCAGGGTTAGGCCGGCGGCCCTAATCTGATCCAGCACAGCCTCTACGTGTCGTAGGTGTTCTTCCCACGTCTCACTATAGATCGCAATGTCATCCAGGTACGCGCAAGCGAATTCCTGGAAGCCATCAAGGAGGCGGTCCACTAAGCGCTGAAAGGTAGCTGGGGCATTTTTCATCCCGAAAGGCATGACCTTGAACTGGTACAAGCCAAACGGGGTGACAAACGCCGACTTAGGGATAGCGTCCTTGGCCAGGGGGATCTGCCAGTATCCTTTGCACAAATCGATGGTGGTCAGATAGCGTCCCCTAGCAATACGATCTAATAGTTCGTCTACTCGGGGCATGGGGTATGCGTCTGTCACAGTTCTGTCGTTAAGGCGTCGGTAGTCGACACAAAATCGGGTCGTTCCGTCCTTTTTGGGGACTAGGACGACTGGGGATGCCCAGGGGCTGTCGGAGGGTTCTATAACTCCTAGCTTTAACATTTCCTGAATCTCCTTTCTCATCTCCTCTTTCACGGCTTCGGGAATTCTATAGGGAGTCTGTCGGAGAGGGTTTTGTCCTGGAGTCTCTACGTAATGTGTCGCTAAGGGTGTGTAACCGGGTTCCTGGGAAAACGTCAATCTTTTTGCAGCTAGCATCTGCTGGAGTTGCTCTCTTTCGGTGGGCGTTAGTCGCTCCCCTAGTTGTACAGTGTTCAGCAAGGTTTTAGACTCGGGGTTAGCTAGTAGATCCGGGATGGGGAGACTGTCCGGGTCCTCCGTGGCTGGGATACATATGGCTGCTATGTCTTCGGGCCTTTCCTGGTACTCTTTCAGTAAGTTTATATGGAAGGACTTCTGTATCCTCTCGTCCTTGCTACTGGCAATTACATAGGTGGTGTCACAGATCTGTGCGACCACCTTGTAAGGGCCTTGCCAGGAGGTTTGTAATTTGTTCCCTTTAACGGGTCTAAGTACTAGGACTTTCTGTCCCACCTGGAAGGTTCTCAATCTCGCGCCCCGATCGTACCAATGTTTCTGTCGGCCTTGGGCCGCCTGGAGATGCTCTCGGGCCATCCTGGCTAGGTGCCCCATGCGGTCCCGCATCTCCAGTACATATGGTACGATGGGGACCCCCTCATGTTCTGTCTCTCCCTCCCAGTGCTCTCGGATCAGGTCGAGGGGGCCTCGTACCCGCCGTCCGTAGAGCAATTCGAATGGGGAGAACCCTGTGGATTCTTGCGGCACCTCTCGATACGCAAACAAGAGGTGTGGCAAGAATCGCTCCCAGTCCCTGTATTCCGCTGTAAAGGTACGCAGTAGTTGCTTTAGGGTACCATTGAAGCGTTCACAGAGACCGTTGGTTTGAGGGTGGTACGGGGAACTAAGGAGGGATTGGACACCGCAGGCCTTCCATAACTGCTGAGTTAGGTCTGCGGTGAACTGGGTCCCTCGATCCGACAGGATTTCCCGGGGAAATCCTACTCTGGTGAAGATCCCAACTAGAGCACTGGCGACAGTGTCAGCCTGGATATTCGTCAGAGCGACGGCTTCTGGGTAGCAGGTAGCATAGTCTACTACAGTAAGAATATATTTCTTACCAGAGGGACTGGGGTTAGGTAGGGGTCCCACTAGGTCGACTGCCACCCTGCTAAATGGTTCCTCGATCACTGGCATGGGTAACAGTCGGGCTTTGGGGTGATCCCCTCTCTTTCCCACCCTCTGGCATACATCACAAGTGCTGCAGTAACGGCGCACATCTTTCGAGATCCCTGGCCAAAAGAAGGTCTGGGTGATCCGGAAGGTTGTGCGGTTACCCCCTAGATGCCCTGCCAACGGAATGTCGTGGCCAATTCGGAGAAGCTCCCACCGGTACTTTCTGGGTACCACTAATTGGCGCTTCTGCGAGGGGGCACAGCCTCTCTTCCTGCCTTCGGTCAATCTGTATAGCCTGTCCCCCTCCCATACAAAACGTTCTCGCTCGTCCCCCCTACTGTCAGCTAGTTCCCTGTACTTTTGGAGGGTGGGGTCCTGCCTAGTTTCCCTCCCAAATTCTTCTGGGGTGTCCCAAGCTATGGGTCTCTCTGTCATGTTAGTGTGGGGTGTCTGCTTGTGGCTTACCTGGGTCTCCCGACCTGTTGTAGGATCGTCCTCGATACGGGTCTGTGAGCGGGTGGTCACGGGGCAAGCACCAGCAGTAGTGGGTAAAAATGCTGAAGCTAGAGGGCCAATATCGTTGCCCAATACGACCTCGGCGGGTAAATTGTCCATGATGCCCACTGTGGTCTTTCCTGACCCGGCTCCCCAATCTAAGTGTATCCTGGCGGTGGGTAAGCGAAAAACAGCTCCCCCTGCGACACGAACAGCCACGGTACGATTCGACACATGTTCTGGTTTTACAAGGTGTTTCTGTATTAGGGTAATGGTAGCGCCAGTGTCTCTTAGGCCTTGTGCTATCTGTCCGTTCACACGCACCTCCTGACGGTGATGCTGACGATTATCTGGGGAAGCTGCTTGTATGGGGTTGGCCTCATATAATATTCCCAGGCACTCTTCAGGGCTTCCTTCAATTTCTAGGCAGTGAGCAGCCGCTGGACGTGGCGGTGTGCTCTCGGTGTTAGGTGGGCGCCTCCAGTTATTATTGGCTGATCCCAACGGGCAATACCGGGCAATATGTCCTGTGTTGCCGCAGCGATGGCACGTTACTTTGTAAGATTCCCGGGGATGGTTGTTATGCCCCTGGGGACGTGGAGGCCCTGGGGGTACTGGGGCCCGAAATTCTGTGCGTGCAGGGTAGGTTGTAGTGCGGGCCTCTGCTCTAGGGGCTGGTCGTGTGTTACTTTGGCTCACCTTCCTTGTCTCTGCATACTCATCTGCTAGTCGCGCTGCCTCAGTTAAATTGGCAGGGCGCCGATCTCTTACCCAGTCCTGTATATCTGCAGCCAGATCTTGAAAGAAATGTTCCATCAAGAACAACTGTAATATTTCTTCTCCGGTGTTAGCATTGCACCCTCGCACCCAGTGTGTTGCCACCCGTTGTATCTTGTTTGCCCATTCCATGTGGGAGTCCACTGCCTTCTTTTTGGACTCCCGGAAGCGACGGCGATATGCTTCTGGGGTGACCGCATATCGGGTGAGTAGTGCAGCTTTCACCCGTTGATACTGCGTTATATCTTCCGTAGTAAGTGCCCGAAAAGCCTCATTTGCTTTTCCTGAGAGCTTTCCAGCCAGAATAGTAACCCATTGGTCTGGTGGTACTTGGTGTAGCGAGCATTGTCTTTCAAAGTCCGCTAAATATCCGTCAATTTCTTCTTCATTCTCTACAAACGCTTTAAATGCAGTGAACGGTATTTTCCTCCCTGTAGTAGCGGGTGGGGGGGTAGGAACTGCCTGTGTAATGGGCTGTCTAGCTCTCACCAGTTCCGCTTCTTGTCCCCTCTTAGTTTGTATCTCCTCCCTTGTTTCCCGGAGCAGCTGGTTTATTAGCTCCGTGGATCTTTCTGGATACCAAGCTAATCTCCGCTGTACAATGGCAGAAATTTCATCGTCCTCGCTGACAGGTGCAAGAGGTTCTGTTACCTCCATGGACCTATCCATTTCGTCCAGTTCTAGTAGGTCAGCTATCAGCTCCCTCCGTGGTCTGTTGCTGGCACTCCTACCACGACTCTCCAATAAATCCTTTAATGTGGGTCTTTTCAGCTTGGCGTACTGAGCCTCCATTCAGCACTTGTTCTCTGGATAAAAGGACCATCCCACCGCTGCCACCAATGTAACGGCTACCCGGGTAGAGTGAGGGTATCTGCCGTTGGAGACGTCCTTTTTCCCTGTAAGCTGCTGTGGAGAAGTAAGCTGGTATAATCCCATCCACGATATCCAGAGTAAGAGTCAGGTTCAGCTGTAACAGGAGCAGAATAATATTCCCAAATAATCCCCTTCCAAGAAACGAGACAAGGCTACGTTTTGAAGGGTCAAGAAGAACTGAGGACTGGAACACCCAGCCTGCTTTTTATTGGGATCAGGTACACACAGGATACTCCCAGGGGGAGGATAAAAACATCCAATCATATATCTGGTAACACCCCCACGTCTCCTCCCCTCAGATAACATATAACATAATTAAAACGTACAACATTTTACCCCAGTTCTGGATGTTCCCCAAAAACAGGGGGTACAGCTTTAAATCCGGGGTCGCTTGATAGCTCTCATTCAGGGGACCAACATGTCCAAAAATCAGCCCATTCGGATGAATAGTTCGGGAGATACAGAGTTCCAAAGTTTTGACCGACCGCACAGACCAACTAGCCGAAAATAGTTCCATGAGTTTTGGCCTTGCGGTCGGTCTCCGTTCGCCTGGTAAAAAGGTATGAAATTCTTGCCATCCATTCGAATCTCGGGGTTCGCCGCAATCCCCATAGATGATTGAACATAACTACCGAACGTCCGGTGATTCGGTAGTTTCCGTGCGAACTTCTGGAAGTATGGAGGACTCAGCGGTGTTCGCCTGTTTGCGTATCCGATTTTAGTTCCACGCGTCGACAGGCAAACACCGCTGTTCGCACGTAAGATGGCCGCGGCCACGTGTAAAGTCCCGAAATGGCGGCCACCTATACTTTACACAGGGAATTCATGCGAACCCATTCGAATGGTTGAAATGCACTAAATGTGACGAATTCCTGCTGGTTTTGGTTAGTTCACTGGCCCAGGCATACAGCATAGTTCTGTTACAAGCATAGTCTTGGTAAAGATATAGACTAAATTTTAATAAGGGAAGGAGGCGAGTATTTGTCCCGCCGGTTTGTTTGGTGTTTTACTTCTTTTTTCCACCTTTTTTTATCTTGTTTGATTTGACTTGTAGTTGCTTGTCTGGTTTTTCTTTCACTGTGTGTTTTTTTTTTTTTTAATTCTTTATTTTATTTGACAAAGTATTATAGAACAAGGCAAGATGTTCCGGTTTAAGCATATACCGTGGTCAAGTATAACATAACATATTACAGTATAGGCATACAGTTGATAAGCGTGGTAGACATCAGATGCTACAATAAGTGCCTGTAGCACAGGACTCTTTATTAGGGGGCTTGGACATCACTTTTGTGCTGTCGATTTTTTTTATTGTATATTGAGTCAGTTACAGGTGGCCAGAGCGTGAAGGTGGGTTTCTGTAGGCATTCGGTGGTGCCTATCCTAGCGCTATTGGAGGGTTTCAGGGTACCGTTGGGCGATGAGATATCTCTTAATGATGCTGTGGAGTCTCCAACTATGTTAGATACAGGTGACGGCCCTTCTGACTTGTTCCAGCTGCAAATTGTCCCCTGTATTGTGGAGCCCGCGTTCAACTCCTGCTTTGTACTAGATACAACTGAAATACACTTTGGCCTGACTGGGCCCCCCTCCACTCCCTGGCACTGTGTGGTTTTTAATTTCCCATTGTTATCACCACTTGGTACCTCTTTTGTTGTTTGGTCCTTGTCTTTCTGTGACTTGTACATGGCTTGTGCCTGTACTATGTGCATTGCATGTTATCACATAGCTGCTAGTACCCATGCTCTCACATGTTTCTTTTCTCTTTTAGCTTGGTGTGCTTCTGGAGTTCTGCTCCTGTTTTTCCGAGGTTCCATATCCTGCTTCTTGCCTCTTCCTCTACCTGTTCAGCTGTTTATTGCACTGTACAATATTCTCATTGGTTGGTTGTTTTGCGATTTAACTCCTTGTTTGTTTATTAAAAGTTATACTTTACCTTCACCAAGTCTAGGCGAATCCCCAGTTATGTCCAGATTCCACTGTGGGTAATATACAGAATGAAGTTGCTAAACTCTCAAGATTAAAACAGTGTATTTAAGAAAAGCTTAATTTAAGAGGATGGATTGTTGTGCAGATAGTGCAAGGAGGAGCTCAGAAATCACAGAAACTGCTGTTTGCCCAAGACCAAATTGTGATAAGAAGATTATTAATGCACAATAATGTAAGTAGGATAATTGGAATAGAATTGTACAACTTTGATGAATAGGATCATTACAAAAATATTGACAGATGGTAAAAAGCCTTATCTCATTTATAATCACTTAGTAAAGTGGGGTGGTGTTATGGGCAAATGCAAATATTACAAGTTTTAGAATGAAATGTTGTATTTCTTAAACTGGGTACTTTGTCTTTAAGAGATATTGCAAACTGACAGGGTGTTAGAAATGGAACATATTGTTTTTCATAACTGTTTCTTTAAGCAAAAACCATAATATGTTTGCGCCATTTTGTCCCAGACGAATTACAATAACAATAATGCATAAACAAGCTTCAAGGCTATACTACGACTCTTGCAGTACACAATATACTGTAGTAACCTTAAGTAGATAAGGATGTCCAGACTTTTAGATGCCATCTTAAACTAAGTCAGGAAAATTTCCATGACGTATACACCCTTTAGTTATGGCCTTGTATGTTTGCCAAGTTAAGGGAGGTCCTAAAATGAATAAAGTAAAAGAAGTGGTACTTTTTCATATATGAACTACGGTAACCCTAAAATGGAGACACCTAAGGTATAAATAGGTGTACTTTTAAATGTTAAGACACAGAGGAGAGACTTGGAGACAGACGCTGCTCCATCTTAAAATGACAGAGAGGCTGACATGATGACATGTTCAGAAGGGTATGTTAACCTATTAATGATATTTGCAAGCATGTAATTTAATCTTATAAACTCTGCTATAATGGATTTTATATTTTTATATAATAAATATCCAAAAGACAATATTGCTTCCAAGACAATCCTTATTTTATATTGTATTCTCAATTATTTATATATGTTAAATAGAGGATCTCTTACTAACTATATAAAATTATGGCTAAGATATCTGTATGGTTAGCCCTACTAAGTTCTATGCTTTAAGACATTATAGTGGTAAAAAAGTGAACCACCTGCGGTTACAGTGGGGGTTGGAGTTTAATTTTTTTTGCATTCTTTGTCTTTTTGCAAATGCCCATTGTGATGGACTAAATTTATGATTGCTCTAGAAGGTGATATTCCATATACATGTGTATTTGTTATAGGATGAATATGATTTCGTCCGATTTTTCAGACTTTTTTTCGTATTCGTTTACTATAACATAAACGAAAGTCCTACATACGAATTATATTACATACAAGGCACTACCTTTTCGGTTCAGTTCTTTTGTTTAATAGACTCCTTGCATTAATTAACCATGCGTGTAAGAGTCTCCCTGCAGCCCTGCATGGGTTAAATTTCAGCACAGGTCGTAGCTAATGCTATTACATTAGGTCCCCTCTCTAGCAGAATGGAGAACTCCAAAGCTTTTTTTCCCTTTTTAGTTCTGCTGTCCGTATACCCTGTTCTTTTACCAAACCCCCTCACTGTATGGCCCATTGTTCGCACCTTCATAATCACCGACCAAACCTGGCTGTTAATCAGAAATTGCTTATTAGTTCAGGTGCTTTCCCTGTGTGACAGCGGTACATGGTTGTCAATGGCATGGAACGAAATTCGGATACACGACACCGCAAACGCCCGGGAAACTGGTACTGCTGCCCATGAAACTTCACAGACAGTAAGGAGAACGGCATTCGAGAGGCATAAACTGTAGCAGGCCTGTTGACAACCTGACAGGTTGTCCATGCTCAGCCACGTCTTGTCCCTGAAAGGAACCAGTTATAGTACAGAGAGACACATTTTCCCCCCAGTAACCGAATGACACATAGTCCTGGAGGTACAACACAATTTTATTGGCCACACACGGCTTTATACTTTCCCCATGCAAGGGGTATAACACACATAAGGACAATGTCCTTTCCCACCACTCAGTAGCCCCTTTCCAGGGACCCTTGTGTGTGACAGGAACTCCAGTCCCTTTGTCCTCAGTTCCCACCACTCAATCCCAGGGTTTCCCACTTCCCGTGGCAGGGGGTTGTCTTCCCAGTATCCTCTGTACCTGGGAGTCCCAGCGCAGAAGAGACTCCCACCTCCTGGGCTCCCAGACACAGAAAGCCATTGTCCCAAAAGGGATGTCCACACCGATCCCAGGGACCTTCACAGCGGTGTCCACTGGGAACCTCCTACATTCGTAAAGTCCCTGTGTGAAACTAGGCAAAGGAAGCGTTTCTTTTCGGGATACGAATGCCTCCCCAGGTCAGCGTTCATCCATACGAATGGCGGCCACCCAGGCGAAGCACTCATTAATTACTTCCCTTGCAGTTTCACACTTGTTTCGAAATGTTATTGTGGTCTCACACCTATGTTACAAGTTGGGGAACTTTCTAATTGATTGGTGTGAACATTCCAAAGGGCACTGAGGAGGTCCCCATTCGGGAATCGAACGCGCCTGGGCATTATCCGCGAATGCTCCCCCTGGTTGGCGTTCTTATAAACAAAATGGCTCCCACCCAGGAGAGGCACGGGCGGCTGGTTTCCCTTGTGGTTTTGTGATTTTCACACCTAGTTAGCGAGGTGTGGACATTCTAACCAAAAATTTTAAATGGGATATCGAGGTGCTATGTCACAAGTAATAAATTCTCCTCGTTTGCATTTCTTCAAATTTGGTTTCCTTGAATTATCCTCTTCTTTTTGCAAAAAAATGAACAGTTTGTATTTATGGCCTTTTATATTGGATATTGACATTTTTAAATGCTGGGGTTTTTTTGTTTTGTTTAAACAAACACAGATTGTGAATAAATGTGTTATGTGTATTTTAAGTAATTATGGACAATGTGTGTAACTTTGGAAAGCTACAAGCCGATTGGATCATGGCTTTGGGACTCCTAAATAAAAGAGGATCTCCAGTGGGAGGAGATATTGCTCGTTTGAGAGAGCCCCAAGAGGCGGTGCGAAACGCGTCACGTGACCTGGTGATCAGGATACAAGGTGAACTGAACACACACCAGCCAGCAGGACCGGCCCCAGAAAGAGAGAGATTACACTGAACTGTTATCAAACTCCCCATGGTGTGGTGAGCTACAGATGGACTGTGCGTTTTACTATTTGACTATCAGTTGTTTTTATTTTGCCTGACACTGGAATCGCAGGAGCATTTATCAGATCCCACGTACCCAAGGGGCTGATCCTCCCTGGGCAAGATAGCTTAGAGTGGGGCTCGTACCACTCTACATTTGTGAGTTGCATTCTTAAAGAGGCATTTTATCTTAGTTTAAATTTTAATAATTGTATTGCACTAGGAGTGCTTTCTCTGTTCCCTCCCCCTACTTTTGTCACCTTAACTACAGATATCAACTGTACAGTGTAACAGACTATACACACAAATACACCTGGGCTTGTAGACGCCCTATAAGGGATCACACTTGCTTGCACTGTATCATCTGTTTGTGAATACTTCTCAACACTTGAGGGGTTCTATACATATGTATGCACACCGGCACTTTTCTGTTTTGTAATGGCATATTCACCAAACACTGGGAATAGAGAGATGTTTTCCATATTTCCCCATGTTTTTTAGTTTCTACTAGAAACACAATTCATTGTCGGTGAGGGGTGGGGAGGATTACGTAGCATTTACCTATATGTTTTCTGTACTGTGAGCTGGTGAAGAGGAACTATTTATTGGTAATTAGTGATGTCGCGAACACGAAACGGCGAACGCGAACTTCCGCAAATGTTCGCGAACCGGCAAACCGGGCGAAACGCCATAGACTTCAACGGGCAGGCGAGTTTTAAAACACACAGGGACTCTTTCTGGCCACAATAGGGATGGAAAAGTTGTTTCAAGGGGACTAACACCTGGACTGTGGCATGCCGGAGGGGGATCCATGGCAAAACTCCCATGGAAAATTACACAGTTGATGCAGAGTCTGGTTTTAATCCATAAAGGGCAGAAATCACCTAACATTCCTAAATCACAATGAATATGGATTGACACCTGACATATGACATATTGACACCTTGACATATGGATTGACACCTGTCCTCAGAGCCCCTGATGCACACTGACACAGAGCAGAATAGAGACTGTTCCCCCTACATAGGGTCACTTGGCAGATATGGATTGACACTGTCCACAAGGACAAGCTGCAGGCTTCCTGGCAGGGCCCATACAAGGTGGTAGAGCAGGTTTGTGATACCACCTTTGTGATCGGTGCGGTCACAGGCACGGGAGGCAAGCGCATGCTCCATGTGAACATGCTCAAGCCATACCACGAGCGCACGGAAGAGGTAACCGCGATCTGTGCACCTGCCACTGAAGATTATGATAATTTGCCACTCCCAGATCTCCTAGACCTAGAGGGCCAGAGCGGAGACCTGGGAGAAGTACAGTTAGGAGAACGGTTAGACCCCCAGGAGCGAACCCAGGTCCAAAGACTAATCCAGGACAAGGGGGCCACGTTTTCCAACCTACCTGGGTACAGTCCGTTAACCACTCACAAAGTTGAAACCCTAGACCAGACCCCCCTTCGCCAAACCGCCTATCGCATACCCGAAGCAGTTAAAGAAAATATTCAGAAAGAAATTGAGGAAATGATGCAGTTAGGGGTGATAGAACACTCTGACAGCCCCTGGGCCTCCCCGGTAGTACTAGTACCGAAACGGGACGGCACGACCCGTTTCTGTGTAGACTACCGGAGGCTAAACGATAAAACAACCTCAGACGCCTCATCTATGCCCCGGATAGACGAGCTCCTAGACAAAATGGCCAGAGGCCAGTACCTCACCACAATAGATCTGTGTAAGGGGTACTGGCAAATTCCATTAGCCGAGGACGCCATCCACAAGTCGGCATTTGTCACCTCGTTTGGCCTGTATCAGTTTAAGGCCATGCCATTCGGGATGAAGAATGCCCCGGCTAACTTTCAGAGGATGGTAGATCGGCTACTGGATGGGTTTCAGGAGTATGCCTGCGCCTACTTGGATGATATAGCCATTTTTAGCTGCTCCTGGCCTTAACACCTGACCCACATAGGAGCCGTACTAGACCGGATTAGGGAGGCCGGACTGACCCTAAAGCCCAGTAAGTGCCATATAGGAACGCGTAAAAACCTCCCCAAGATAGTAGTATGGGCCCCAGAGTGTGAACAGGCCTTCCAACAGCTCAAGACGGCGCTCATTAAATCACCTGTACTTTCTGCTCCTGATCCAACTAAACGCTTTCTCGTCCATACAGACGCTTCTATGTTTGGATTTGGAGCAGTACTGAGCCAAGTCGGAGCAGATGGCGGCGAGCAACCCGGGGCTTATCTAAGCCGGAAACTTTTGCCCAGGGAAGTAGATACACTGCCATTGAAAAGGAGTGCCTGGCGGTGGTGTGGGCCCTCAAAAAGCTGCAACCTTACTTGTATGGACAACCGTTTACCTTACTCACAGATCACAACAAATTTGGGGCACTGCGCGTGCAATCTAATGTGCCACCAGATAGGAGTGGTGTGTTAAGTAGTACTATTCTTATCAGTTTAATCCCTGTTACGTCCCCTATCCATTGATGTGGAGCAAGACGCAGCAGCAGAAGAGGACTCAGCCGAGGAGGTTA